CGGGTGGACAGAAAGGGAGAAAGGACAAGAAACAGGGGTTTGGAACAGACTTGACTGTTTTGTTTTGTTTTAGAGTCTTCTCACTCTTTTTTTTTTTTTTTTGGGGGGGGGGGGGGGTGGAGGAGGAGGGGTTCACCTTTGTTTTGGGGTCACACTTTTTTTAATCAATCTTAGGGTAACATCATTGCTCAGGGCCTATGTTCACTTCTGTTTTTTTTTTTTAATTGGGGGAGGGGGGGGGAGGGGTTCACTTTTGTTTTGGGGTCACACTTTTTGTATTGATCTTCTACCCCCTCAACTCAATTTGTGTGTGGAAAAAAAAATAGAAAAATAAAATAAAATTGTGTGTGGCATCAAGGACCGTGTTGTGCGAGGCGAGGCATCCTTTTCATTTTTTTTTTTTCCTTTTTTGAAAAACAGACAATGTCTACAGGGGAGCGACTTCTGGAGTTGAGTTGATGAAAACATCCTCCGGTAGATGGTACGCCCTAATAATTTAATAAACCCACTGCATCAGTCATATGTTGAAAATAGGTACGAAAGATTTTCGTAGCATGCATTTTGCTTTTCTAATCATTTTTTAATGCTATAAAGCATGTCACGCAGCACTACACTTTGTTTTAAGTCAACGCCTGCTAGTGGGATGAGGGCCCAGAAGTGTGAAATCTCTTTTTTTTTTTTTTTTTTCAAAACCCCCCGTCAGTGTTAGTGCGGCTGATAAGAGCAGACACCACTAACACCTGGGGAGGGGCTCCATCTATTGGTGGGGAGCAACACCTGCTGGAAAACGGGTCCAGCGTCCCTTATACAGAAAATGAGGATGTCTGGGGACACTGATTGTGGGACCTGCCAACACTGATTGCCCTGTCTCCAGGGGATTTATTGAGCAGGTGTGTATAGATCCTAGTGATGTAGCCCTTGCTTCCCGTATCTCTTCACCCCCAAGGGGCCGCCAGATGTCTCCCTAAGCTCTGATACCACTTCAGGAAGCAATATTCATTTGTATTAGTTGGGAGAGAACGCTCCCTGGGGAGCTCCAGGGGAGAGTTCCTCATATGAAAAAGAGGGGGAGTAAGTAGAGAAAGTTGCCGGTTTATTGTCAATTTAGGACAGGATCTCT